AATCTGGTTCAACATGAAAAAGGGGCGAAAGGGACATTAACCATTTTGGTGTAAAATGGTGCAAATGAATAGTATTGCACCATTTTTTAGCAAATTATGGTGTTGGGTTGGAGAAGGATTTCACCGAAATTTCTATGCAAAATGATAAAATGGTAAAAGAATTGGAGATGCCTTCACTTCCATATGGGCTATGCTACTTGAACAAACCCCTAGAAAACCAAGGGTGCCTGGGGATTACTCCCTTCCAAATTTCATGGCACGAAAACGCCTACCACTAGGAATGTTGTCCTCCACAACCTTGTGCAAAACCCTTTATTGATCACATTATTATGTCCAAAACCAAGCAAAATTAATCGGGTTGAGTTCAATCTAACAAGAAAAAGTTACAATTTTATCCAATTTTATTATAAGTTTTAAATAGTCTTAAGTGCCAAACATGAGCTGAAGATATGCTCAAAAAAACATAAAATTGGAATAATTCTGTTTGATAGAATTAATTTGGAAATAATGAGTTATTAAATAGTATTTTTTGGAAAACGTGTGGTTAAAAAGTAAGGAAACTTTATTGTTTGAGTGTAAAATATTTTATTGTATGAATGTGTAATTAAAAATGATTCTGTAATAAATAATTTAAACTTTTAAAGGATGACAAAAAAAGACTAAGTGTAAATAAAATTAACAACTACTTAATTAGTTGTGACTAGGGTTGGGCGTAGTCCGATCTGGTTCGATTCTTACCAGATCCAAAATTTTCAAGTATTTAATAAGTGAAATCGTTGGGTCCAAATCTTATTATGGAACCGTTTGAGTTCGATTCTATTTGACTCAGTTCCTAGGTTCTGTACTATATATTTTTTTAATATTCACAAAGTTACATTAATTCAATTAATGACATGTTCAATTTTAGCTCTTACAAAATAATGTAATCCAATCTTTTGTATCTTTTACTTCTCTCTTTGTTAAGTTCTTCATAGATTTGATTGTTAAAATCATGGGAATGGAAGGATTGTGAGCTTACAATAATTAAAAGATGTGCTGTCGAGTTTCAATTCGATTTCTTCAGAACAGTAGAAACGGCACTACGATAAAATAATAAATTTGGGTAAAACTTATGTCAATTTGTGCTCGGACTAAAAATTAGAAATAGGGAAATCATATTTTTTTGATTTGAGTTAAATTAATTAGTTAGCAATTTTTTGAACAAATAGAATAATTTGACTTATTTAAAATAAAGAAATTAAAAAATTTAGGGACATTCGATTCTTATTCGATTTTTGATCTAGAACAAAAAAAGAAAAAAGAAAAAAAAAGAACCAAAACTATCGGTTCTCGATTCAGATACCAATTTGGATATTTAACGTAAGAAGAACCGTTCGATTTGAGTTCAGCCCGATTCAGTTCAAGAGTTTTACCCAACCTTAATTGTGACATGTTGTACGTCATGATCATTTTTCATAATCATATGTTTGAGAGCAATGGAGCTTATTTCTTTCGTTTGCCTTTTGCTGTCCAAGGAACAATTGAGGTGAGAATTACTTTGAGAGTGCACCTAAATTAACTCACGAGGGGATGTCCTTCTAAAAATTTCGATCCAATTTAATTATCAAGCGAAAGGAAGTTTGACTCCTCTTAAATAGTATCTCGATGGCTCGAGACTGTTGGAAAATATTCAACACCTGGATTTGGAGAAGAAACAATATATAAAAATAATCAAGAAGATGAAAATAAGAAGAAAATCAAAATAAATATGAAAGTTCAAACACGACATTATATCGCTGTCCTTAAACGATATTTGCCCCCTCTCGAATATAATTTTCGTACTTAAAAGGTCTCACGACAAACGGTTTGAAGGATTAATCAAGCCCTATAGAGAATTAATATTTAAGAACTCGTGTGAATTCTCCAAAACTTAAAGAATACAAATGGAATATTGAATATGGATGAGAAGACTTTGATTTCTTCTTTGTGGAATGAAGATTATGATCACAAATGTTATCAAGTGTTTTTCTTAAAATTAGAATGATCATCAACCACCTATTTATAGCTATGAAACATTGCTATACAAAGTGATGCAAAAGTATAAGTGAAAGGCCGCCAAATTTAATAAAAAACCGCATCCAACAGCCCTAAAAAACTACCATGTGACCGCATGGTGTATTCCCATGCGATAGCATGGTTTATAGAAAACCCAGCCTTCATGTTTCAGTTAATGGCTATGCGATCGCATGGTCTGTTGGCCTACGCGATCACATAGGCCAAAGTATTGGTTCTCATCTCCTCTTTCTTTCCATACTCATGTTTTTTGATTTATTGAACAACATTTTCCATCAGAGACTCCAGAAGACCTTTTACGCCTTCCACTATTTCAAAAGAAAAACGTATATAATTTGTTATTGTCGTGATAGTTATCGTAAAATTGATGGAACGAAGTAATCAAAATGTGGAAAAAAGATATTTGTACACCCAATCCCTTACCGAATGTTTTACACCCTCTCACGAAGTATAACGGGCCTCGCGTGAATTTAAAAATATTGACATGTGGTTCCCACCCCTATTATGAGTAATAGATAAAAGATTCAATAACAAAATTCAATACGTGTAGCATTGTCCAATTCAAAATTTGTACACGTTCCTATTTAATGTATCAAATTATATATTTCACCTCACCAACCACCTCACGTCAATTGTGATTATTATCAAAATTAAGGGCATTTTCTTACTCCCAACTCTATATAACCTCCTCCGTACCCAGTTCAATCCCTCGCTCTTTCATTCAACACAGAACTCAAACAAGTTTAAACAAACTCTCAACACAAAGATAACAAAAAAATAAAAATAAAATCATGTCTGCATGTAGCAAAATCCGCCACATTGTCCGTCTCCGCCAGATGCTAAAACGTTGGCGCAAGAAGGCAGCCGCCACCTCCCGCGGCACACCCTCCAACGTCCCGGCCGGACACGTGGTGGTCGCCGTCGGCACCACCTGCAAAAGATTCGTCATTCGAACTACATATTTAAACCACGCAGTATTCAAGAAACTGTTGATCCAGGCCGAGGAGGAGTATGGATTCACCAATTCGGGCCCATTAACCATTCCTTGCGACGAATCACTGTTTGAAGAAATTCTACGATACCTGGACAGCACGGAATCGAGTCATCATAATTCGGCCCGATTAATGAGCTTCGAGGATTTTCAGAGGAACTGCTATGTCGGAATCAGAAGCAACATTGAGTTCTGGGCCGAGTCACGGCCGCTTTTATATTCTGATAAGTTTATATGCTAAATCGACTTCAACAAATTCCTCTGAATTTGACTGGGGCGACTCGTCCGAATTAGCTCACCTGCAGAGCCTAAATTAGCAGATACTGTCGTTTCCAGCATGGGATTGGGATGATTTTTTTTTCCTCTTTTCGCTGTGTTCTTGTATTACCTTTGAGGTGAGCAGTACTGAGCTGAATCAAAACTGCCTAGGAGATGGCAAGAAGGTGAGCGAGTTGTCACCGAGTCGTCTCGGATTTACTCGGAAAGGAGTCAAGGACCAAGAAAGAAGAAAGAGTAGGACAGGAGCGTCGATGGGTCAGTAACGCTATTTTATTGATCGAGTAAAACGCGACTTATAAAGGAGACGCTTCTAAAATAATTGTAATTATGATTGATCATAAGCAATGGTTACTGATTGATCTAACCTGCAACCGTTTGCCAGCCTATTTGTTCTGTTCATAATTTTTATTTTCTTGAATTTCTTTTGTTCATTTTGATGCGACTATTTCTTCAATTTCACCAAAATTTTACACTGATCATAAAATAAATAGTACTGGATGGTATTGAGTGAATCTAAAAATAAAAATAAAATCAAACACGCTTGACGAGTTTTGCTTGTTAACTTGGGATGCGTCGCACTTAGACCAATTTTCGCTAATATTTGATGATTTTAAATGTTCTTCTACTAATGTTTCATTATTTCGAGATAAACATATAATATTGATATGATGGACGAGCTTGCACTTTATTAAATGTGTCTTGCCCAAACCAAGTCAATAACTATATGTCGTTCTATGCGTTGGAGATCTAGTTGCCTAATAACTTGATATCCATAAGTTTCACACTTCAGGATCATTCATTTTCGAAGTAATAGGTAGCACGTGTTTGGGCTCAAAGTGTGAACCAAAAGCTCAAAAGTTGTTGCTTGAGTATGTTCTGAAAATCATGTGGGGCAAAAATAATAGCAAGGTTCGGTGGACATCTCACATTTTCTGAATATATTGAACTTGAGTCGAGCCTCGATTATTTCACGCTTTAGCTTGGCTTCCTAGTTCACTTATACACCATCCAATATCTTTTGTGTGTGAATTGGGAAATGAGGATTGTGTGGGGATTTTAAGTGGAGCGAATCATTCATCGACTCAGTTTGCATCCAAAGTACGCTATGAGCTCGAGTCGAGTTTATTGAATATTTCGCATGAATTGACCTGCGAGTCAAGCCAGTCAAGCCCATGGGTTCGCCTAATTGAGCAGTCTGCATTCAATATATTGGATTTGTTCATTTGTTTCTAAATATTTTTCAATTCCAACTTTAATTTTTATTTTTAAATTTTCTATTGAAGTTATTACTGGAGTGTAAAACTGGGAAATTCACTTTTATTCTCTACAGTAACTATAGTACTTAGATAAGAAAATTGCCTTCGAAATCACTTTACCTTTAACAAAATCTAACCCTGCAGTCCGCTTAGATACGGAAACTACGTTGTAAATCCATTTCAACGACGCAGGGGTATTTTCGTCCAAAATTGGCATTGTCGTGCCCTAATTACCCTCTCGCTCTCGCATATTCTTCTCCACCGTTCGAAATATTCCTCACAAACTTAAACTCTCATTATAAATTTGCATAAAATTTTCTCTGTTTTTGATATTTGTGCTTTCAGTTGGTTAATTTTCGATTTTAGATTTGGGTTGGGGTTTCTGGATTTCTTTTTGATTGGGAAATTTGGAGTAGTTTAGAATGGGAGTTCCGGCGTTTTACCGGTGGCTGGCAGAGAAGTATCCTATGGTGGTTGTGGATGCGATAGAGGAAGAGCCGGTAGTTATTGAAGGCGTTAAGATCCCGCTGGATACGAGTAAACCGAATCCGAACAACATTGAGTATGATAATTTGTATCTGGATATGAATGGAATTATTCACCCCTGCTTTCACCCTGAAGACCGCGTAAGTTTTTTTTCTTTTTGTTTTTTTGTTTTTTGTTTTTTGTTTCTGTTTTGTGAATTCCTGGTTTTTGTTATGGTTTTCTGTGAGTTTTTTTGATGAATTAGGCTTATCTTTATTTCGAGTTTTAACTCGCTGCCTATTATTGTTATTGCGGGAAACCAGTACCTGTGGAAATTAAATGGAACTTATAATTTGGGATTTAGTCGATTCGGAAATAGGGAGATTGTATTGAACTTTGATTTTTGAGCTTCAGGTCTTTTGTATGTTTAAATTTTGAAAAGTAGCTTATTGTTGAAAGTTATTCATTATAAGAAGAAAAGAATGATGGTTTTTAGCTGAATACCATGGGAGCTGGTATATATAGAATTGTGGGATATTGTAGAACGATTGCAGATTAGTACATGATTGTTTATTGAGCTGCTTCAAGAATCTTGGTTTTCTTTAAATTTCTCTCCTTCACTACATGTTCATGCAATTTCCTTGTAACTACCAAATGTATTTAGTTACACCATGACAATAGTTTCTTTGTTTTCTTACTGTCAATCTTGAGAATATGTTTACGCCCACTTACTTCCATTGCCAGTGTCTAACATTATATGCGCAAGCATCTAGCAATCCTTGCGTGTGAACGTTTTGCTGATTTGAGAAACCCATCTTTTACAATAGGCATCAGGAACTGCGTCAGCTGTTGAATTTTTACCATTTTGGGCGTATTGGCTTAAGCTTATTGAACATTTTATGCTCCCTAATCTTCAGATCATAGTTTCCAAGAAGAGATTAATATCTTCAATTGAAATATATTTTCAATGTGAATCACTTTGCATTGTAAGAAATGGTTAAAAATTTGAAATCACATTCTTACACAGAAAGCATTTTTGGCACATATTTTTCCAAATGAAAAATGTTGTTTTATTTATTTATTATTATTTTTGGAGAATTTGTTGTTTAAACTGGGGAAAGTTGTGGGACCATAAAATGTATGGCTGAAAATTATTTTGGAGGAAAATTATTTTAATAAAATCTGTGTCAAACAAGCCTAAAATATGTTGAGAAAATAATTTATTCTATGAAGAAACTTCAAGCATCACGTGACTTAAATGATGAGGTGCTTGTGTTCAATTTAAGATATATCAATGGGTTTACTTTGAATATTGAATAATCCAAAAGGTCTGTTGCTTTTTGTCTGATCAGTCACACTCTTTGATGGAGGAGATAGAAATTTGTTACTTATGAGTTTGAAGTGAAAAGCTGTGACAAAGACAACCTTAGATATTGTAAAGAGTTGGTTTGCTAGAAAAATATAGCAATTTCTGGTGCGAAAGAGAAATGTTTAAAGTGCTTTAAATTGAAGAAAGACTCTTGAAATTCAAGTTTTATTCAGTTGAACCTGACTTGACCCAGATTTATGCTGTAATTTAACACACATCTTAATGTACATACCATGTATCTTACTGCACCTTATAGTAGCTATGACCACAATCAGTGCAATTTCCAATCTTACATCTCTCTTCATTGGGAATCGCTTCGAATCATATGATTTGATAAATATGACTAGAAAATTATTTTTGCCTTCCCTTAATTCACATTTAACTGACTTGTTGGATGATTGTTTGATTTGATGTGATTTGATTTGACAACAGATTCTTGAATTTTATTATATATAAGTTGTAGTAGTAGTAGTAGCAGTACTTTACGTAATTGATTCATTATCCTCTTGTTAGATGTATATAAAGTTATCCTTATTTTATCATGCAGCCATCACCAACTACTTTTGATGAGGTGTTTCAATGCATGTTTGACTATATAGATAGGCTTTTCGTGATGGTTCGGCCACGAAAACTGCTATTCATGGCTATTGGTGGGTAAAAGATTAAATTGTCCTAGTAATAACTTCAAAATGCTAGTAGATACTGATTTGTGCACTAACATCAAACTGGAATTGCATGGCAGATGGCGTTGCACCAAGGGCTAAGATGAATCAACAACGGTCAAGGCGATTCAGAGCAGCCAAAGATGCAGCAGAATCAGTATGCAGCCCTCTTATGTATTTCCTATTGACAGAATTAAAATGGCTGTCACAAGATATATTTGGTAGTCTCACATGGAATATCTTTTTGTAGGCAGCTGAAGAGGAAAGGTTACGAGCGGAGTTTGAAAGAGAAGGCAGGAATCTTCCACCCAAACAGGAATCGCAAGTTTTTGATTCCAACGTCATTACTCCCGGAACACCATTTATGGCTGTTCTATCTATTGCTCTGCAATATTACATCCATCTTAGACTAAACAATGATCCTGGATGGAAAAATATTAAGGTGTTATTCCTTTCAACTCATTCCAACGGCTGTTATTCCAAATTATTTTGGTTATTATTATTATTATTATTATTATTATTATTATTATTATTATTATTTTATTTCGAGGCACGAAAGTGAAATCGCCTATAGCATCTCTAACAATGTACGGCTACTGCATCAATTTATGCAGAACTGAACAGTACTAAAATTTCTATAAATCATTAAAACGGGACTTTCATTAAAGAAGTTATTCTTCTTCCTTGAAGGTTATACTTTCTGATGCGAATGTTCCTGGTGAAGGGGAACACAAAATCATGTCATACGTCCGCCTTCAAAGGAATCTTCCTGGTTATGATCCAAATACCCGCCATTGTCTGTATGGTTTGGTAAGTGTTCTTGCTGACAATTTCTGTTGATTTGTTCTCTCATGCTCTTACAAATGTTGACAGTTATCTTTTGCAACATGACAGGATGCTGATTTGATCATGTTGGCTTTGGCCACCCATGAAGTTCATTTCTCAATACTTAGAGAGGTATATGCTATACTCTTCATTAAAAGGCAACTGTATTTCAGTACTTAAATTTTTGTGTTTACTTTTAAGGCACATTAATTCTGTAGTCTGAAGTGAACAATTACGTTCTGTTGAAAAGTTGGCAACGAGTGCAGATGGTTGAGCTTAATGTTGTCTTGCAATGTTCGGCAGGATATTTGTTAGTGGGTCAGTTATGTACTTTCATCTCAGTAATGTTTGTTTTCTTTTAAATTTACTTTACAGGTTGTATTTATGCCTGGCCAACAAGACAAATGTTTTCTATGTGGTCAAATGGGTCACTTTGCTTCAGATTGTGAAGGAAAAGCAAAACGAAAGGCGGGGGAGTTTGATGAAAAAGGTGACGACGATGTCGTGCCTAAAAAACCATACCAGGTTAGCTTCATATATGTGCAAAGAAACGTAATTTAAAATGCGTAAACTCTTCTTGAGCTAATTTGTGCTCATTTTGCAGTTCCTCAACATTTGGACTCTTCGAGAATATATAGAATATGAGATGAGGATTCCTAATCTGCCATTTCAGATTGATTTAGAGTGTATTATTGATGATTTCATCTTCATGTGTTTCTTTGTTGGCAATGACTTTTTGCCACATATGCCTACACTGGAGATTCGTGAGGTGTGTTTAGAGTTGCTATCTTATTTTGGTTACTTGGTAGTGTAATTTTGTGACTCCGTGCAGTCTGTCGCAATCTTTGACTCCAAAGTCTATTTCATGCTCACTAGACAATATAAATAAGATATCGGATTGTCAGTGCAGAACATTGAAGTTGTGAGTTTTCCCTGCTTCTATTTATATGTTTTATTTCCAATATGTAATGACCATTATTGCCACAAATGAAGCTTTAAATGGGAAAAGGTATAGTATTGGAAGAAAAACAAGGACGTAGCAAATGATGAGCACGCTGCTGAAATGTAATTTGGCAAGCTGTCTTTGTGAAGTATTGTTGAAAGTATAATTTAATACTAATAAACAAGTAGAATTGTTAAAGATGGAATTTTGGTTGAATGTGGTGAATGCTCTTTCTGCTGAAAAACTAATATGGAGTGGATGTGGGTTCGCAGAAAAAGGAGGAAGTTGAATTTGCTGAATTTTAGCTGGGTGTAAAATTCTTAATTGTCTATTAAAATTAGTATTATGGATGCTATCGAAGTTTTATGCTTGGTATTTACAGAAAGTCTTGCATTGAAAATAGTGCATTTATCATTATTAACACTGCATTATCTATGTTTCCGTTGCCTTTATTTTTCATTGTTAATTCATTATGATATAACGCTGCATTATATATGTTTCCCTTTTCAATGTTAATTCTTTATGTGTTTGTACTCTTTTCACATTTAGGGTGCAATTAACTTGTTAATGGCTGTTTACAAGAAGGAACTCAGGGTTATGGGTGGTTATTTGACAGACGGATGCAAGGTATGATATAGTTTTTCTATTCAGTCATGTTACCCACCTTTGTCATTACTTCAGTCTGAGTAGTTTGTAGGCTTGTTCTTATATTGTGTGTGTTGCTTCCCCATTGTTTTGCAGCCAAACCTAAGCAGGGTGGAGCACTTCATTCAAGCTGTGGGATCATTTGAAGACAAAATATTTCAGAAAAGGGCTAGATTGCATCAGGTTGATTTTAACATTATCTCACCTTTTCTCCCTCTCTTTCACATTTTATTAGTGAGATGCTTTATTTACTTATTTTACTGCTCTATTAATATAATGGTTCCATAACTATTGTGAGATGATACTCCTGTTTATAAATCTGAGTTTGGAGTGTGTGTCGATGATGACCTCTGTTTAGCAAGTATCACTTTTAAAGAAGCACTTAATGTTATCGTCCCACTGTTTCAATTTTTATTGGATCTTTTAACATGAGAGACATCCAAGTGAACTACAACCGTGAACAAATAAAATAGCAGTGATAGAGGCACCGCCTTGTTGATATGCATACATTAACATGTAGACGAATATCTTCTTACTGTGCATTGTTGATTTATATTGCTACCAATTGGATATAGGCATATAAATATTTGTGACAGTAACATTTATTTATGTGCCTCTCTCTATATTTACTGCTTTTTATTTCCATTGATTAAATGATTCCCTTCTTTCTTAATGGGAAAAGCCGAAAGCCCCTGCAGGAATTTTGGAAGTTTTCATAACCATGACTTGTTGAGAAAGATTTTTGGTTTTTCCCTTTCACTCGTAAGAAGATTGTTAGCTCATGCAGAATAGCAGAAATGACGTTGGATATTATGGAATAATTATAGGAGAAAGGGAAAGTGGAGAGGAAGAGAAGAATTGAGCGCAAGAGGAAATCTGTTTATTTAATATATCAAAGTTGTTTCTATTACAATGCAAAAGCCCCTTTATATAGAGCTTCAAAAGAACCTATTTCTAAGTAGGAAATATGTAATAAACCTTGTTAAATCAAACTACTAAAACAATCATTAAAATCGGAAACTATATAAAAAAATCTCTCTATAATATTCCATCAAGAAGTACCTACCTTGCCTTTTCTTGTTGGATGTAAAATTTGACACAGAATGATAGCTACACCAGTTACTTTTATTTATTTAACAGTCATTTTGACTATGATTCTGGTTTTGTTATACAAAGCTTTTCAAGTGGATAGAGGGAATTTGCTGCCTTGACTTATAATTAATGTGCTTATCATATCTATTACATTTTTTGTAGAATATTATAATATGATCCTGCTCTTGTTTTCAGAGACAAGCTGAAAGAATTAAGCGTGAATCTAATTCAAAAAGGGGAGATGATACTGAACCTCAAGTTAAACCTCAATCTTTAGTTCCAGTTGCCCGTTTCCATGGTTCTCGTCTTGCTTCTGGTCCTTCACCTTCACCCTATCAGAGGAAAGGTTCTTCAACTTCTCTTGGACACGATGAACTGGGTCAAGCTACCCCAAGTCAATCTGGAAAATTTGATAATAAACAAACCTATGTCCGGGCTCAGAAAACAGCACGTGTAGATTCAGGGGCAACTATAGGCGCTGCCATTGTTGAAGCTGAGAATAGCCTTGAAATTGAAGTATGTTTTCCTGCTTCGGGAGAGGCACTTTAATGTAATTCTTACTCCATCATTCTTTAGGATTATCATCTATTGGCCAAATTTGTTGGTATCAGGTTTGCCTGTAGGGACTTGGGTGCATTTATTACTAGGATCACTGTTGTCTTCATAATAAAAAAACTATGCACCAGTAACCATTTTCATCAAAATCCAGTTAAAGTGGTATCTTATGTATTTTGCTATTCAGGCACGTGAAAACAAAGAAGAACTGAAAGTGAAGCTTAAGGAGTCACTTCGTGGAAAGTCTGATGCATTTAATTCAGATAATCAAGAGGAAGACAAGGTTTAAACTTCATTGAACTTTCTTGTTTCAACTTTATATTGCAAATTATGCCCATGTTTGTCAAGTATTAAAATCAGATTTTTGGGAGATTTTGATAAAAGTTAATGAAATGTGCAGTTGAAAAGTTGTGGGTCTCATGAAATATTTGATACAAATCCATTGTTGACTTTGACTTGGATTAAAATCTTGATTTTAATTCCTACCAAACAGGGGCTATATTTTGTTAGGAGGACAAGTGTAGAAGATATAGACTTTTGAACAATCAGTGGTGACACTACAGTTTATGTGCTTGTGGTCATATATGCACGTTTATCTGTTTTTTATTGTTCTTGTCTGTGCATGTAAAGTTCCAACTGTTAGCTTTGTAGTATAATTTGTTCACAAATACCCAACCGACCAGTTGGAGGATTCCAACTCGATTGCTTATGATGTTTGTGAAACGGGAAATGTCGATCAGCTGTAAGTGCTCGGTAAAGACGTTGTATAGATGCTGTATATGGATCTAAAAAATTTGAATTTATTAAAA